TATGTGTGTGTATTAATATATAAAGCTATCTATTTAATGCCTGTAAATTGCTTTCTATTCATGGGAGGGGATATGTAGTCTCAGAAACCCACCAGGGCAGTTCTACTCTGTCTTATGAGGCTGCCATGAATAGGAATCCATTTGATGGCATTGAGTTTAGCCTTGTTTCGGATCTGTATGACACATGTTATGACATGGACAAACTTTGATTTTATTATGTTAAGTAGAATGAGACAGAAAGGGATAGATATTATTTGACCCCACTTACATGAAATATCTAAAATAGACAAATGCATCGAGATGGGGGAATGGGGAGTTATAGTTCAACTGATGCAGTGTTTCTGTCTGGAGCAATGAAAATGCTTCAGACATTGTGAATATAATTAAAAACATTGTGAATACGATTAGAAACATGGAATCCTACACCCAAAGTCATTAGAATGACAGATTTGATGCTATATATTTTATGTTAGCACACGCACAAAATCATATCAGATTGGACCTCAGTTTCTTCATCTCTGGGAAAGATTGTCACTCCTGCTGACCAAGGCCATATCTGAGGGAAACGGATGGGGTTGGGAGGATGAGAAGAAAAACTGCAGTGTTTGTGTTCCAGAATTCACTGGACTCGCCATGCCTCCCTAAGTGACCCTGTACCAATGCCTTTCTCTCAGGCTGACGGCATCCGCAGCGGCAGCAGCAGTGGCTGGTCGAGCTGAGCTGCTCAGAAACCACCTGCCGAGGAAGGGCTCCACCACCGGCCTGCAGCCAATCAGCACACGCGCTAGGCTTGCGGTCAGTGAACATGGTGATTGTCACGGGCTCGGCCTGGGAGGTTTGTCCCCTCCCTTGATTTGTGGGATTCTGCCAACCCTGGGTCAGCATCCCCACGCAAACCAGAGCCTCCTCTCCCCCTCTGACCACATACTTCCCGCAGCAGCTTACCTGAAAGGCCGTGTCTAATTTAGTGATTTTATAGCCATGATTTGCCTTATCTGGAACTAACCTGATTATTTCTCTTGCTCTGTGGCATTTGAGAAGAAAAGACCAAGACAATGCTACCTGATTAGGGTGTTTAGAGTCTTCCCTTGAGAGTACTCAGAGGTTAGAGGAATTTGGGCTGATGAGACAAAGGAAGCAATGCCTTAAAAGGACCAGGGAGAAACTCTTCAGAAGACCGGACAGACGCCAGCACACGGCCTCCCCCAGAACTCAGTTCAGCAACAGGCCATGTTCCAGGGTGCCCAGTACCTCCCGCTCCCTCTGCTGACAACACTGGGGTGCTCTCAGCCGATTGGCAGGTTTTGCCTGACAAGGTCACACATTAATTTAGCCATTCAAGAAAGAAAAATGCATGAACCGAGGCTGTCGGGCATTTTATCTTGCGAGAGCACACAAGACAGGTGAAAACTTTTAAAAGGCTTTTAAAAGTGCCCCTGTTCCAATCTACATGCCAATAGATGAGAAAAGGAGAGCCCAGGTGGCATAGTGGGTAGGCATTGGACTGCTAACTACAAGGTCAGCAATTCAAAACCACCAGCTGCTCTGCTGGAGAAAGATGAAGATGTCTACTCCAGTAAAGAGCTACAGCTTCAAAAACCCACGGGGGGCAGTTCCATCCTGTTCTACAGGGTCGCGATGAGTCGGCATCGGCTGGATGACAGTCTCTGGAGCTTTTCGTTTGGGGGATCAACGAGAATGAAGGCCTTGGTGTCGCAGTGGTTAAGTACTCGTCTGCTAATTGAGTGGTCAGTAGTCCCAACCCGCCAGCCTCGGCAGCAGACATAAGTGGCAGGCTGCATCTGTAATGACTGGAAGCGTTCCCCATACCAGGTCAACTCTGTCCAGCAGGGTGACTGTGACGTCGAATGACTTGATGGCAATGGGTATATAGGACAGTGTGGAGGAAAAGACACTCTTGGAACTCTATATTTCCCTGGTACAGAGAAGATGTCTACTTTTTATGGGAATCTTATTTCTGGAGAGAAAATAAGGCACTAAAGATGTAAAGAATGATATTAAAAAGAAGTGAAAAGGACACATAGAAATGGAGGAATAAAGTATTAGAGTCCCAAAACTAAAGCTAACTGAAAGAAGGAATACTGATTACCTTAATTATTTAGGTTTTGTGATCAAAACTTCCTAAACAAGGACTTATGAAAAACTGTGAATGTGAAAACTATGATATAAGCAAAAGTCAAATGTGTCAGCCCTGACAATCATTCAACCAGGATTTGTCCATATGAATATATTTACTTCACATATAGCATGAATGGATCAAAATTTTTAAAAAAGAATAGGAGAGATTGCACTGGTGAGATGACATATTTATGGCAATGGTAGAAGTCTATGGAAACCGATGAGGCACAAAATCCCATTTTGAAAAAAAGTATGTGCCACCATTCAGAAGTTGCTTCCATTTTTTAATAATTGAAATTTACGTGCACCAGCCAACTTGGACCCTTTGTTCTTCTTGAACTAAACTGTTTCTCGCAGCCTCATGTTTACTGAAGCCTAAAATTAGAACTGACAGCAATTCACTGCAACAAAGTGGGCTTCCTCCCCTGCCTGTCCACCCGTAGCCCATGTCCCATTCATGCCCTAGAAATCCACTCATCTCTCGGTGGTCATCTGCCAAGAGAAGAAAAGTAGGGCAGAGATGAGAACGTGTCATTCAGGCAGGGGAGGGGAGCACGAACCTACTGGCTCACCCCTGTGGTCTCCATCAGGACCTCACCTCTGCAACGCTGGTCCTTGCTCCTGTCCTCCTCTGATACATCTGACGCCTCCAGCAATAGCTGGTCCAGCATTTGCTTGCACTCTTGCAGTAGTGCGGATGCAGCCTTTTGAATATTCATGATGCTCACCCTCCCTCTACGATGAATCGGCGTTCCTGGTTCTACAGTGATCAATTACCTAGGAAGAGACATCGATGCTCAATGAAGGAGGCCCGTCAAGGCGAGGTACCTGGTGAACAAAAGAGAAGGAAAGATGATTAACAGAAGAGCCATCAATTATCTGTAAGACTCAAGCAGGGAGGGATAATAGAGCAAACACATGAAAATCCTTGACAGCCCCAGAGGACTTTATTAGGGGAGTGTGTGAAATTACTGCAGGGTCTGGTCTAGAGGGGCAGCACCTTGCAGGCATCAAAGAGCAGAGAGGCAGACTCCTTCTGGTCACCCAGAGTGATATCACGCAGAACTGAACGAACGGAGCATATTCCGTGATTTCCATATCTTCTGTGCCTAGGGATCCCAGTAGCAACACATCTGTCTCTCTGGAAGCTACAGGAAGCATTCAGCTAACAGTTCTAAGATTCAGACCCACACACACCATAACAGGACATACACCACTCTCATAACCCACTGCTGATTTCCCCTTGTGGAAACATTCTTCCTAGTACTTAGTACCCTGTAATGGGGACCAATAAAGACCACATTTCAATATCATGTGGACCAGTGGATGCCACATTTCAAGCTCTTGGGTGCCAAGCCCGTTGCTAAATAAAATAGAGAAATAAGAATTGTCAAACACTCAATAGAGAAGTAAGAATTGCTCCATACTCAATTCCTAGCTCAATTGCATGGACGGAGCTACTTACATTGCCACATATATGCGGCTGAGGACTTGCTTGTGTAAATATAAGTATGATATGATGAACCATGCAAGCAAGGTCACTTCAAGAACAAAACTTAGTGGATGGGGAGCTGACAATGGGGAGAAGAAAATAGAAATAGAAAATATGGAGAATAAAATTTTCTGAAATTGATGGTGGGGATGTTTGCACAAATCATATTAATAAGATTGAATGATTAAATTGTATGATATGTGAAGGGGGGAACAAGTGTGTAGACTTAGGTAGAGATTGTGTTGAGAAACAGCAGCTTCACATATTGATATTATTGCTTAATAAATGGTTCCATGACTTTTTAAAAAAAATAAGTAAAATACCCTTATTGACAGTATAAAAAGACTGTCTGGTAAATAAATAAAAGATGGCTACTTTATTGACAAAAATTAAATCGAGAAAGATCATCTTTCTTCTATTAAAGGAAGCACATTATAAGCAAAATAAAAAGGATTAATTCTTAGGGAACCAGCAGAGAGGTCTGAGGAGCCGGCTCCAATCCCAACTACTATGTGGACAGCTGCCGCTCCCTCCCCCCCAGAAGAATTTATTTCAAAGGACGGCATTGAATCTGCAGCTCCAGGAGAGGGACATATTTGATCAGAGCACACGGGAGCAGATGAAGGGGGAGGAGGAGAGAGTGGAGTACCTTCTGGCCCCCCAGGCCTTGAGGACAATGTTCCC